TCCAGCTGCCAGCTATGTTTATGCGCTAGTCCTTTTAACGTATTACAAATTGAAGATCATTCCGAAGCTAAAAGAAAAACGTGTGTGTGTGTGTGGGGGGGGGGGGATGGGGGTATAGGTGTGCGTAACTACAACATAAAGAGACATTTGTCATTCTCTCAGTTTCTGCAAAAATAAAGGCTTTTTGTCTTATAGCTCACATGCAAACTAAGTACACAAGAAATCTTTATAAATTCATGAAATTGCAGCACATAAACTTAGCACTAAAACACGTCTTACACATGTGTGTAGCAATACACTTAAAGAAATATCCGAGCATTTTATAAGTAAATTAATATGGTAGTCAGTCAGATTAAATGGCCTTTATATAGTTGAAATGTGGGCAGTATTGGGTAAGTGTTCAGTACTTTATTCTTCGATTGTTCGATTTGAAGATACTTTTTCTTCATTTTATTTTTAACTTTAATATAGACTAATTTCTGTTTGGCTTTGGCTTAGTTGCTTTGGCTGAGTGCACACACACGTATGTTTATTTAATATTTGTGTATCCCAAATATCTGGCAAAGCTGTTGTTGTTGTTGTTTTAACATTGCAATTACCTTTGGCCCGGGGCCAGAAATGAAGCCATCTGTGTGAGTTCTTGTACCTGCTGTGCGATTTACCCGAGGTGACATATTCATTTGTTGCACGTTTTGATTATTTTATACGAAGCGAGAATCTGTTAGTAAGTCTACCATTTTGACAGGTGGCAACTTCAGCCCTCTAGGTGGTAACATCTTCCCCTCCGGCCCTCCTCCCCGCTCTCGCTTCTCTCTATGTGTGTGCGTTTTTAGCTAAATGGCAATTTGCCTGCCAGACTTGGCCCTTGTGTGCATATTTTGACTGCTTCTATAGCTGAAAATTGCATTTCGTTTATTAATTAAACTCCAATTTAGCTGGCGCAATTCAATTATGACCCTCTCAAGCGTCAAGTTTAATTCGTTGCAATTTGTGGCACATTTAACAAAAAAAAAAAACAGCTACAACGCACAAATTGCTTATTTAATATGCCAGTCGCATGAGTAGCTGCCATTTTATTGCCATCAATTTTCTACAAATTGCAAACAATTCAGCCAATGAAATCAATCAAGCTTTGATCAAACGCCACTTTAAATAAAGGCGCCAAATCCAACAAGAATTTTCGCCGGTTCGCTTCACGGTTCACATCAATAAAGGCAACAAACCTTGGTTTGATACCCTGTTTTACCCAATCAAGCTCAAATGCACTTTCACTTGTATTTTTTTATACCCTGAACCCATTAGAAATAGGTGTAAGGGTATATTGTATTTGTGCAAAATCCAAATGTATGTAACAGGCAGAAGGAAGCATCTCCGACCCCATAAAGTATATATATTCTTGATCAGCACCAATAGCCGAGTCGATCTAGCCATGTCCGTCTGTCTGTCCGTCCATCCGTCCGTCCGTCCGTCCGTATGTATGAACGCAAGGGTCTCACCTATAAAAGCTGACATTTTAGATGTATGTGCTCTTAGTGCTTGCGCAGATCGAGTTTGTTTCCGATAATCGATAACTTACTCCGTTCTGTTTTTTTTGGGCAATTTTGGTAAATAATAAGAGCTAGAGTCACCAAACATAACATATAGCTTCTAAAATAAAATATATATATGCATTTGATGTTGGAAGAAGAGGGTTCAGGGTATCCCCTAGTCGGGAGCTCCCGACTAGAACCTCTTACTTGTTTTTTTTTTGTTTTGTGTACAAATTATGTTTTACACATTTTATTTTTTATTTCATATTTACACTTAACTTTACGCTCTTGTTTTGCTTTAATCAATTTTGACGGCAATTTATTTGTTTATTTACACAACAAAAACACGAAAAAGCCGTCCATTTGGTTGCCCAAACCTCATTTGTTTCTGGTACATTGTCTATTATAAACCCCAGAGAGCTGCCCTACTCTACCCTTACCCTAGTTTTCACAGTTTTCAGCAATTTTCTCTATCGTTGTGTAGTCACAATCCCGAAAAAGTAAAACAAAAACAAAAACAGCGAGAGGAAAAAAACAAGAACGTGCAGCATATTCAAAATTGAAACATGGAAAATCGCACAACGTTTTTTCCGCATTTTCGCACAGTTTTTGTTCATCTCTTGTTTTTTTTTTTTTTTTGAGAGACAGAGAGAGAGTTGGGTCGTGGGAATAGGCGGGTCATAGTTCATTGTTTTACGTGACGTATTGTTGGATAAACAAATGTTTATGTTTTTGCTCACTAAGCTGCGTATTTGTTAACACTTTGTTCTGCGAGAGATGGGGGCTAAGCCCTGATGCCTGCATCCGGCTGCAATCTTTCGTTTTGATTGGACAACGAGCAGCGAGCTGAAAAATAAATTCATTTCAACGTCAGATGCTGAGAGTTTTTTTAATGCAAAAGTTGCAACAGATACTAAATCGCGTTTGGCAACATTTGGCGAGGCGGCGGTTGGGGAGCGAAAAGTGAAAGCAACTTTTGGCGGTCAGTTGGCTAATTGAAGGCTGCCCCACAAACTGTAGATAAAAGTATTGCATGCCACCAAGTCGAGATACTTAGCTGTTATGAACCATTTAAAGTAACTGCTACTGCTACTGTTACTGCTGCTGCGTGTTGCACGAAAAAATTTACTTAAACTTAAAAGCATTTGCTTTTAATTAAAAATTTCCACTTGCCGCACTGGGAATTACTTACAAAAACTAACATTGTATACACACACATAATCAATTTTGCCATGCAATTTTAATTACAAATTGTTGGCGTGGTGGTCAGCATAGTGTCACACACACACACACACCCACATGCATACGCACACCCGTTGGGTGTGTAAATAGCTGCATAATGGATACGCCGCTTCGTCCCAGGGGCGTAGCCACGCCTCGCTGACATTCTTCGAGCTGGCAGTGATGCGCAGACAGTGTCTGCAAGAAGTTAATACACATGACGTGCAACAAATTATATTTATCGCGCATCGCCAAGCATCAAATTATAAGGACGCAACGCAAACCGCAACAGCAAGGACCTCAGCTCGGCTGCGGCTGTTCCTGCTGCAAATTGATGCTTAAGGACAATTTTCACTTCATTACACGCTGCTGCGGCTGCCGCTGCTACCGCCGCAGTTGCTACCTTTTTTGCTGGTACCCTACTGCTGCAACAGTTTTTCATGCAATTTTTTTCTCCGGCTGCGCTGCTGCCTGCTCGACGATTAATTTTCAAGTGTTGCTTAAGCGGCAAAACATGCAGCAACAACAAGAAAATGAGGCAAAGAAACGGTGGCCGCTGCCACCGTGAAATTACAAATTGCGCCCGCCGGCAAGAGATGGCGCCACTGTTGCTGTCGCGGCTGCTGGCGCTGCCCGCTGTGCACCTTTGCATGCCTAATTTAATAAGAAAAAGTGCCAGCCTGTACCTGTACATCATTTAAAAGCAACACCTCCACACACACAAACACACACACACACCCGCACCCACACACACATAATTAATTGTGATTGATAGAAGAAATTACTTGCCAGCGGCTTGGCGGGTTGCTCGACCGGGCCAAACCAGATGGCAGCGGCATCGGGCTAAAAGGCAAGATGAAAAATCATTTCACAAACTGTCCCAAAAGCCGACACACCTACACGCACGCACACAGGTACACACTGATCCGCACACCTGCACACGGCAAATGGGACATCATAAAGAAACTCCATTTGTTGCCGCTCGAGCGATTTGTTTGCCACGCAAATGAACAAAACGAGAAACAAGCCAAATGCCCGAAATGTAGGTGTTAAAGTAGTTGTGGGTGTGTGTGTGTGTGTGTGTGTGTGTGTGTGTGTGTGTGTGATTGCATATGAAGCAAAAAGCGTTGGCCATTTTAATTTATGTCGCCTGGCAGCGCTTTGCTAAACAGCTTAACATTTGGCCCAAACACCCGAAAGGACACAAGCAGCTGCCTCCACCCGGAACGGCTACAACATAACCTTAAAATATAGCCAAAGACTAAAAACAACGGCTTAGCCAAAGCACAGTGTGTGTGTGGGGGTGTGTCTTTGTGTATGTGCGAGTATAATTCGCTAGCAAATTGAAAATAAACGCAGGGAGCTGACTAAAAAACGCGCTGCTACTTTTTACCTCGTTTATCTAAGTGTGTGTGTAGTGTGTGTGTGTGTGTGTGTGCCAAGTGCGCGTCGCTAAGCTGCAAAAAGGCTCTGAGAAAGCGAAATGTTCCTGCATTCAGTTTCTTGCTCGTTTCTCACAGCTTTTGCTGGAAGCTTAGCTTTATATTATACTAAATATCTGTGATAAAATTTATATATATTTATATAACATCATGATATCAATCTATTCAACTTTAAAGAAGATCTTTACAATTATTTATTCAAAATCCCTGCTACTTTTCAATCACATTGTGTTTATTATTCAAATTAAAAACTCCTTAAGCTCAATAGCCTCCAGCAGTCGCAATTGCAGTTCATCCAAACCAATATTGCCGGGAATAATAAATGAGTTCATAGAGACTATCAGAATGGCTGGCAGTTGATCGAGTTTCACGTTGGCAGCCAAATCGACAGCCGTCTGGCCACAGTGCTTGCCCAGACTGAGTAGAAAGAGTTTTTCGTTGCTTTTGCAGGTCAGATCCCAGCCATAGAGCACAAAGTTGTGCTTCAATAGCTCCAAAAGGCTCTCGTCCTTCAGCAGGCGATGGCAAAATATGTTTGTCAGAATACTTGCGCCATGATGCAAATAAATGGCGAATAGCTTGTGCTGCAAAGATAAACAAAACAACAACAAAATAAGTTTCGCAACTGCAGAACGGGCGTCGATGAACTTTACCTCATTCTCTAGATAGGAAGCCTTGGCCAGTTGCAATGCGCTTTCAAGGCTGCCCACATGAAACTCCGGATGTGGTGCCCCAAAGCGTTGCTTGTAATTATCCACAAACTGCTTGGAGCCGGTCGCCTCGCAGATTGTTCCGTCGGCTATCAAATGGGTTGGTGCCAGTTTTGAGTCGCAGCAAAATAATTGATAGCCTCTTAAATCAGACTCAGAGTCCGATTGGGATTCATCCGAGGAGCTGTCGGTCTACTCATATTTATCATCCGCCTCGAAGTCGCTGCTCGACTGCGAGTTGTTGTGCGGTGTGGTGCTCTGCACCACAAAACTGTGCCTGCGCCCGATGCCCGACTCGGCCAAATTGGTGGCATTGTCAACGGCCACGTCCAGCGGCCAGCCTGACCAGACCTGATGCCTTACCGGTATGTCGGTTATATAATAGACATCAGTTTTCAGCTCCAGCAATGTGGTGTTCGCCGGCAATGTCAGCGAAATCGAGCGTCCATCCGGCTGCATCGAGATCTTGATTTTATATATATGACTGTCGTCATCTTTAGCATCCGCTTCATTCAGAGTCAGTTTGCCAGGGTTGGGCAATTCTTGCTCCTCTTGTTGCTTTAAATCGTGCTCCATTTCCCAGAAAATGTCTCTTGGTGAATTGCAGTTGAAATTGCTTCGGAAAACGCAGCACAAATGTAATGCTTGGCTCCGTTCCAATTTATTTTCTCTCTTGCTGTATTCTGCTTCCACCTGTTTTTCCTTTTAATATCAAATTGTCATTTCGTTTATCGATTTACCTGTTGGTCGCCAAGCTGCCGCCTGTTCCAAGCTGCAAATCCCAAAAAAAAATAAAAAGATTGCCTGAAATAAATTCAAACAAGCTGCAAAATGTTATACAAAACTTTTATAATTAAACGCTAAGCACACTTGGATATTATTCTACACGTAATGAGGCGAGTGCGTGCTTTTTCTATCTGGTATCAAGTTTCTTTTAGCTGTATTCCTGTTGTTGTGCGAGCAATTTCTAATTTAAAGTTGCGAAAAAAAAACTGATTGCAGCAGCAGCAGCATAAAATTGCACGTTTTGGCCAAACTTGAGTAAACAAACAAATGCGCTAACATGGCTGAGGGCCATTGCATGATCACGCCCACATGCCGCCCAGACGACGAAAGCTGACTGTTACAGCTGCGAAATGGGCAGCGCGCAGTTTGCGCTCATTACTCGCAACCAATAACTACACACACTCACACGCACACACGCACATACACAAGGGGCAACACTTTGCCGGCAGCACTTAATTACAAAATGGTTTTTTTGGGCGAACAGCGTAAGAAGCAGCTGCTAGTCGCCTTAGGCAAGCTTCCTTGTGTATACGTACATGTGCCTATGTCTGTATGTGTGTATTATTTTGCTTGTCTTGTTGCTTTTGCAGCTGCAACTGCAGCTACGTCTTGCTGTTGTCAATTGCAACATGCGACGTTGCGCTTTTTGTGCCAATGATGATGGCTACAAATTCAACCTCACAGCACACCCACTTTTGAGCTGACTGTCGCAGGCAGCCTAATAGGTTTTTTGTTTTTGTTGTGCCCAGACATTTATGCAACCCCCGCGCGCACAGAGTAAGTTGGGGGAAACTCAAGCCAACGTCGCAGCAACCCCAGCTGTTCTGGTTCTGGTTTTTCATCCACCTCGAGCTGGGTTCTTGCCTGGCTCTGTTGACGGTTTTTTAAATTATTACATCTTATTTACAATGTGCGAGCTGTTGTTGCTGCTGTTGCCTGCGCTTTAAGGCGTGGCAGCGACATGTTGTTGCGCCTGCTGCTTGTAACAAAAGAAATGTTGCAAATTAAGCGCTCGGCTGCGTGCGGCGCACATGTTTCAAGTGCGCTGCAAACAGAACAAAGCAAGCAGCAACAACAACTGCAATTGCAGTAAAATTAAATAAAAAATGTTCATGTTTCTTTTTATGCCATGCAATGCTCACATAACAGCACACAAACACACACACATACACGCACAAATATTGTTGAGTTGCTGGTAATTGTATTTCGACATTTTTGTTGCACGCTGCGTATGCGTAATATTTTATTATGCAGCATTTTTAATGCCGCAACAAGCACTACGCGAAAATATGTCATCGTTTTGCAAGCGCTTTAACCGCACAACTTTATTTTCCTTTTAATTTTATTTGTTGCAAACCCCGCCCCCTCGCCCCCCTCTGTTATTCAAGTGCGACAAACTCATTTTGCGAGTCGGTTACTTGAAATTGGATTAAAGTTACTGCCGCTGCTCTCAGATTTGTATTTGCTGCGCTACAAACTTTTTAACAACATTTCCCTTGAAGTTGCCTTTAATACATGTCCAGTTAAAATACCAGTGTCCGCTTGGTCAACCAGCAGGGTGCTGGGGCTGGGGCTGGGGCTGGGGCTTGGGTTGGGGCTGTGGCAGCGGCAGCTGAGTGTCGAGTCTCATTTCATGCACACGACAATATCAGTGAAAATGCCGGTAATAATATTTGAGGTGCTCCGCAATGGCGCCTGCAATGGCATATGTGTAGTGCACGTTCCACTGTTAGACAGCCCATCCCCACCTCCCACCCCTCCTCCCCCAACAGGCTGTCTGCCACTTACACGCTGCCTGGCAATGGGCACGTCGAGCAGCTCCCCAACGGCCGGTCCGTAAAAGCTGACCCAGAATGCAACTTGTGCTGGTTAGTTGGCAATGTCTGTGTGTATGTATGTGTGTGTAAACTGAGCTGAAGCTGCAATGTTTTACTAACCACAAAATGCTGTAACTAAACGCGTACTCACACATGTAGATAGATAGAGCTGGGAGGACACGAAGCATACAGCACTACTTATGCAGCACTTGAGGCAGCTGCACAGGTAAAACTGCAGCTTGTTTCACACGAGCTATGCGGCACACACACGCTTAGTTTGGCAACTTTGCCACAAACACACCCCCTCACACACACACACACCCGCAACATATTGTTATGGCCATGCCAAAGTTCTTGGCCCCAAAAATTGTCACCGTTTCTGGTTGCAATGTTTAGCACATTGACAGCATAAACTTTAACTAACATTTTGATATGTACCGGACTATCCCAAGGCGCGTGCACATGAAATTGTTATAAATGTGTGCGATATAGATGTTCTTTAAGCTAAGCTCTTCAGTGCGAAATATGCAGGTTTTTATATTGAACATATTTGCCTTTGCTTCTCCTGGCTGCAGCAAACAAAACAATTCTGAAACTTTTGTTTATTCTTTGCTTAAATGCATTCATTTAATTAGTTGCAAAAAGGCATTCACAGTATTTGTTAGCAATATAATGAAATTTCACATGAAGCTTTTTCTATAGAATTGGCAGTTCTTTTCTTTGGCAGAGAGAAAAATGTCCATTTTATTTGATACACTTGTTGCATTCATCTCAAGTCTCATTTCTTTATTCACCGAAGCCAAAGTGCTAAGAAATCAAGCCAAAGAAAAGCTTTTGAAGCAATAACTTGAGATGGTTATAATACATGACATTTGTATCCGGTTTGCAGTTTTGCAATAAAAAACATTTAATTAGAGATCTGAAAGTCTGTTTGTCAATTTGAATTTGTTTGCCTACTTTTGTTTTTAAAGCAAAAACAATTTAATTGCATGTAATACAACTTGCGCTGGTTGGGCTTTCGAGTTGAAAACTAACTTGACGCTAAGTGCACTTTTGCCTGATTTGGCAATCATTTAAGCACCGAGTCACTCAATCAGTCAGTCAATAAGCTTGACATAGGCCAGCAACATAATCCTAATCCAATTGCCTGGCCACGTAATGGGCCAAGCCGCACAGCACAAAATCGAATGGCAAAATTACGTCTAGTCTGTGAACGGCGGCTGGTAATGTAATCTTGTCAGAGGCTGGGCGGCTGTTTAATCAGCTGTCAAACATCAAAAAACTAATTCAAAATCCTCAAGCGTAACACACTGCGTATGAGTGTTTTTTTTTTTTGTAGGTTAGAGTAAGAGCGCTTTGCTTTGCGAGGCAACCAGTTGGAGGGCAGTGAGTGCGCGTCTGCGGTGCTTTGATAAAATTCGTTAGATAAATCAGCAGGAAAGTGTTGAAGTGTTGGAAGTGTTGGTGTCGAACCCTTTGAGCACTTGCCAGCCAGTAAAACTAATTGAAATCCGAACGAAACTCATTTATTTGCTCTTCAAATTAGAAATCTTTGCAGCTGGCTGCCAGGCAGCAGACAGGAATAAGGAAGCAGCAGGCAGCAGCTGTCAGCACAGATAATTTAAATAAAATATTTGGCCTGCAGATCAATATAAATATAAGTAATGCATACTTTTAATAAGTGTACATAATTCACATATAGATATGTCCAGGCTCGTGCTGACGAGTAAAATGCAACTACATGTCCATTTCTTGCACGATTCCTTTGCTTCTGGTTGCGCAAATCCGCTCGATAACGAAATAAATTGCTTTCAGCAAATGCTTAGTGCTTTGATTAATAGCCACAACCAGCAACTGGTTCTCGAATAAAGCAACTTCTGGCCACACTTTGCTGCTCCTTGTTGCTTCTTTTGCTTTCTTCCTCGCTGATGAGCACACATTTGCTCAAATGTGCTGCGTGTGTGTTTGTGCCGTACGAATTTAATTGAGTGCTAAATGGCACGTAAACTGATAGGTCAACACACACACACACACACACACACACTCGGTCGCAGACACACAGTCGAATAGCATAGACAAACTTTTGCTGTCGAAGGCGTTGCCAAGGACATGCGCTAGAAAACCCAAGTATGTGCATCAATGCTACACGTATGTCAGCAGACGGCGGCAAGGACGAGCACTTGCCAAATTGTGTGGGCGTCAATTAATTTTTATACACATAATGGAAACTTTACATTTGTTAGCCATCCAAAAAGTATGCAACACTCTTTCGATTTGCCCCCTCCTTAGCGTAAATTTGCTAGCAGAGTGCGTCACATTAGCAGCGCAATTTGTTTGGTAATCCCCATTTGGCAAGTCTTTGTGCTTGGCTGAGCAGCAAGGCCTTTTTGGCCAGCTAATCCCAAGTGTTGATGTGCACATGTGTGTGTCGGTAGGGCGCTTGGTAAGTCAACACGTGCAAATAAAGCATTCAAATAGCCAAACAGACGGACAGAGAGACAGGACAACGTCAAAGGCGCCTTGACCGCAATGAGTGAAATGAGAAGCGGTTCAGCTCTCTGTAAATGTATTGGGCTCATTCTCAATCTCAGTGTGGGTTTGACTTATACAAACAGTAAACCACACACACACACACACACACACTAGCCACACGCATTAAACGAGCTCAGTCGCCGCACGTCTCAAGTTTATCAAAAGACAGCAAATAAAAATAGAGAGAAAAACGGCAACGAAAATGAAATGAGCTAAAGGCAAACCTACAGATAAATAGAGCCAGATAGAGACACATATACAGCGATAGAGAGAGAGAGAGAGAGTGTGTGTGAGAGAGATGGCAAATAAAGCTGGCCAGCAATAATAACAACAAGAACATAACCACACTTAATTCATTCGTGATTTATATGAGTCGCTTTCTGTGACTTAAAATGTGGCTGTTGCTGGGCTCTGGTTTTTTGGCTTGAATGGTGGGATTGGAGGGGGGATGGGGGGATGGGGGGTTAGGGCGGCTTCCAAAACTAACGAAACTATTTTTGTGGTCTGCCCCAGAAGCTCACCAAAGTGCTAAGACTTGCAGTGTGCATTCGTTTTTGGCCACGGCTCTCAATTAAAAATTCCTCTTGAGCTGCTCAAAATTCAATTCGAATTTTCGGCCCAGATTCTTGTAAGCCCAGCAAAAGCCAGCAAAACCGCTGATAAAGTACGACAGCAGCATCCACACACACTGACGCACACTCACACACACTTTCACACACACACATACACAAATCTAGAAACTTGGCTAAGCCATGCAAAAGCAAGTTTCAATTTTTTGGCTCGAAACGCCATTTTGTCACTTTGACAAAATTGTTGCTACTTTTCGAATGGGCGGGTGGTCAGAGGGGTATTTCAAACAAAGAGGGGAAGTTCGACCGGGGGCCCAACTTGTCGTTCAAGTGACATTCAATTATTATTTCAGGCAGGGCAACAAAAAGTTTTGCAACAAAACCAAACGAAACGAAACGAAATTTAGCTACAAACGAGCAACGACAATATTGTTAGAAGATAGTATTACAGCCAGACAAATGTCGGGGACTGCAGAAGAGATACTCACGAAGACACAGATACACGAACAAACAAACAAACAAACCGACAGACGAACGAAAGGAGGGAGGGACAAACAGACAGGCGTAGAGATAGACAGTTAGATAGATAGTTGGATAAGGAGAGGAGCATAATGCGTATTTGCGCATTAAATGCAAAACTTGGCAAATAGTTTTGTGCCAAAAAATAAAATCCAAACAAAATTTAACAGCAACACAACTGAAAAGAATTGAAATTAAATGAAAATCAAAACTTTTCAATTGCTTTTTAAGCAAAAGAGACAGCCTGCCCGAAAGCGGCTGAAGAACTGTGAAGCTTAACTTTATTTTACAAAGACAAAAGTGCCTAAGGTGAATGCAGCACGATTTTACCTCAATTAAGCTGCAGGCAGGTACAAGGAAAGATTTCTCGATACATTTTGATTTACCTGTGAAGAAGAATACCACACAAATTGTGACTATCTTGACTGTTACACCTCATTAGAGGAATGTACGCCATGCAAGATATACGAGCGATATATTTTTAATAGGTAGATTTTAATGGATATTGGCAAAAAGTTGTTGCAAGTTGGGCAACCGAATGACTGGAAGACAGGCGAGTGCAAGTGCGAGTGCTCGCAATTTGGGCAGAGCCCAGAAGCATGCAGCTTAAAATTAATGACAGCGAAGTAAATGTCAGCGTAGAATGAAAAACAAGCCCGAAATGCCAGGCGCAACTTTACCAACCGCGACGTGTGGCAAAAACAATAACAGGACGTGGACAAGGACAAGGACGAAGAGGAGAAGGAGGAGGAGGGGGAGGAGGATATGAACGTGCATGTGGATGTGGATGTGGACAGGAACGGGGAGCTCGAAGGACGCTGACTGCGATGCATGGCTTCCGGTTTTTGTTCGCGCGCTGGTATTTTCCGTGCCCTGCCGCCCTGCTGCCCTGCCACGGCAGCCATTGCCATTGCGTGCGCGAGTGTCGCATATGCACATTTTATTTATAAACTCGCAGCAAAGTAGAAAATAAAAAGCGTCCAGCCTCGAGCGGTATGCACCTCAGCAGGCGTTGCAACCCCTCCCAGCCTTGGCCCCTGCTGGGTATTGCATGTGCTGCGATAAAAGTGGTAAAATGCTTATCAAGCTCAAGCCGGATGTGCACGGTGTCAAACAGTGGCAGCCGTAGACGGAGGGGCCAGTAACAGCAGCTGCAAATAGTTTTTATGGCGACTGTAATATAAGCGGTAGTTTAATGCATAATTGAAAAGCACGCAAAGTTAAACAATAGAGGCGAGCATCGAGGCACCCGATCACAGAAAACACAAGGATTACACAGGCATGCAGTCACATAAATGAATGCGGGCCGGGTTAAACATAAAATCAGACTCGGTTGTGAAATATTTTGCCAATACTGTCACACTGAGGGCAGACGAAGGACAGACGGCCACACAGAAACAGCGTCACACTCACATGCGGTCACACTAAATATGCAATTCGTTTGTTGGGCCCCTTGTTTTGTTAGCCAGTGTAAAGCAGTGGCAAGGGCCACGACTTCGCTTCACTGACCATTTTGCTCGTATTTGACTTAATTTACGAGTCACAACACGAGACGTGACGCGGGCGAAAAACTCTGGGCAAATTTCTGTCAAATCACAATTTAATGGCAATCAACATTTTAGCTATTTCGCACTTACTTGCACTTGGTAATGGTAATTATTTAACAATAAGTGTGCGATGGAGCACGAAGCGGAAGCGCAAATGAACTGTGAAATGTTTTTACAATTATAAGTGCGAGACGCACTTGGAAATAATTGCACAAACACACACACAAACACACACACACACACAAAGAGCAGACTTGGAGCATAGTCTGAGTGCGAATTAAGTGGGAATCAGCATTGAATAGCATATATATATATATAGAGAGAGTATGCTAATTGAATGCCCACTTAAGCCAAATCAGGCTAAATCGGCGCTTTGTGTCACACTTGAGATGCACTTAAAGAGCGCTCTCTCAGCCGTCAAACATTACTCGTCTTCATCCGGCGACTGCACAAACAAAACGCGCTATAAAATGTAAAAATACTGCCAAAGTATGCAAAGCTCCTCATAAAAACACTCAAAAACTAACGTGCATTGCAACTGTTGGCTGCTGCTGTTGCTGCTGCTGCTCCTGCTCCTGTTGCCGGCACGTCCTTCGTCCTTCGTCCTGCATCCTTCGTGTGCGTGCTTTTGTCTGTGTCTGAAGCTAGCTACTTGCTTAGCTCCTTCCTGCCGCCTTTGCATGCCCTGGCTTCCTTCCTGAAAATCCATCAGCGCTAATTTTGCATATTTTACTTGGCTGCTACTTTATTTTTTTCCTCTGTCTATCTCCCTCTCGCTCTCCAGTTTATGCGCTTTTATTTGGCTTAGCCGGCTTGTGACTTGTGTTTTCACAGCCGCAGCCCAAAGATATTTTAGATATGCGCAGTTAAGGGCAATCCGGATTCTGTGGCCTTGTGTCTGCTCTGATGATGAATTATGTGCGCCACGTACGTTATTAATAATTCCTGTCCTGTCAACAAATACATTGTTACATTTGCCCCCGCTCACACCTCTCGGTCACAGGCCGCCCACGTTGCGTATGCGTAATATGTTTATTTTCAGCGCTGCGGTTAGAAATTTATTAAGCAGCTGCTGCGCAGCTCAAACCGCAACATTTGGAAAAAGAAAAAAAACCAACTCGTGTTCAAATTGAAGCCTGCGGACGGCAGGCGTGGGCAGCACTAGGTCCAAGGAAGTACACGCCTCTGCGTGCCTCCAGCACAAGGACACACGCAGTTATATCAGAGCGCTTCAATCAACTCAGCTTGTTTATATTGAATTCAATCCAGCTTTAGCTAATACGATCGTTTCATGTAACGTGCAGCAGTTGCCGCTGAATCAGCTGCAACATTGCGCATACGCCGCGTGTTGCGTCATCGGCTAGCCGAGCTGAGCTGCAGGCCGAGGGCTGTTTGTTTGCACATTGTATTGAGTTTCAAGTGCACAAGTTAATTGCTTGAAAAATTGAACTCAATCAATTACCAGCACACACACAAAGGCATGCGATATGTGCGTGTGCGTGAGGGAAATGGAGAGAGGAGAAGAGGAGAAGGGGCAAGGCGTTGGCTCCCGTGGGCAACAGTTTTTTTTTTTAAAGGAGCACACACATCGCGTGCACACGCACCGAGTGTGCGTGTGTGTGTATTAACACTCCACTTAATAACGCCAATTAATTTTTTGGTGTTGCATACTTACAGGCGCTGCGGTTATTTTATTGTTTCGGCATAAATGGAAATATTGTGAAATTTAATAGATTTAATTTATTTAAATTGCCAACTTCGTCTCAAATTAGGTAATCATTTGCTTTGCTGCCATTTGCATTTAAATGTTGCAGGCACAAGAACTGACAGCTGACGGCAAATCAAATGTCGGCACTTTTGGGGCAACTGTGGCAACTGGGCAAACAGAAGCTGCACATTAATTAAACATTTATGTGTCATGCACACAAATACACATACAGACAGCTACAAATAAACACTTGTATGTGCAAAAGCCAAACAGAGCGCAACAAATAAAGAGACAAACAGCAACAACAACAACTACTTCAGTTGGCAGCGGACACAACCACACACAAGCACAGCCACAGCCGCAGACCCATCCACACACACCCACACACGCACACGCACACACACAGAGTTAGTGAAGCAAACTCACATTTATTTAGTTGCTTATTGTTCAAGTACAAATTTAATATCTAAGCTCAAGACAATGCAATAAAGTTGAAATTAGTTCGGGCCATAATTTCAGGTGAACATCCGGAGGCAATGCAAACTGGCTCATCCGGCTGCCAGTACAATTGGCTGACAATTGTCATGCTGCTGGGCCTGGTGCTCGGTTACAGTCAGCGGCAGCAGCAACATTGTGCCACACTCGCCACATGGGGCACTCGCAGCCGAGACGTCACGCTCGCGGCCAGTGAAAGTGACATTCGAGGAACAACAACATCATCAGCAGCAGCAGCGGCAACAGCAGCTGCGAAACGTGCTACTACTGGCGGCGGCCTTGAAGCGTCGACTGCGGTTAGCCGCAGCAGCAGCAGCAACAGTCGACAGGCGTGCCACGCCCACGCCCTCGCCTACGCCCAGGCTAAACGCTGCTGCCACAGATGATCGCATGCAGCCGGACTAAACAGCGCGAACTAAGCAGCCACATGAAATGTGTGCGCCAATGTATCCACAATGTGTATGTATCTATATATCTCAATGTGTATGTATCTGTAACTGTATCTGTATCCGTATATGTAAGTGCATATGGTATGACTATCACGGCTAGCTAAATAGCGGCATATTTAGTCATTGGTCAAGTCCTGTTGCCAGTTCAAAACTAGCAATTTATATGTGTACAACTCTTAAGTAGATGCTGGCGCACTCCTAGCGAAAATGTTCCCTTGCATCCCCCCGCCCCGCCCCCTACTTAGGCAAATGAATTAACATTTAATGTGTATTTTGTATAGTTTAAGCAGCGTGTAAATAACTAACGTAAACTTATTAACGTAATTGCAATATCAAATGTATCACACAACAGCAAATAAGCAAACAAAAATTGAACAAAAAAGAAGAAAAAAAACACACATAAAATACAAATAGCGAAAAAAAAAGGAAATACACAAATGCGAAGCGAGCGAGGCGCATTAAATAATTAGATAAAAAACGTGGCAGCCACAGCAGAAATAATACTCACAGATTGAGTGGCCATCAAATATTTAAATTAATTTCCATATCATGCAAATATTTGCTCAGCGCATTTTTTCCACACCAGCTCCCATGTTATGCTCATATTTATATCTTTTAAATCATCGAATGCCAATTAATTTGGTATATCGATATGACAAATAGTAAGATGTAGAGCACACCTGCATGCAAAAAAGCTGGAAAGACTTGGCAAATATCAAATGATGCCCTCAACTTTTCATGTTGTGCTTTATATATTTATTTTCAAGCTGCTCTTTTTTGCTCTTTAAATATTTGTTAATCGTATTAAGCTGCATTATCTGAACATATTTTTGAAAAAATATTATGTTTATTTATTTATCATTCCAGGCATCAGAAATTACAGCTTTAATTACGTTTCATTTGATTTGATTCGAACTTTATGTTTGTATACCCTTATAGAGGATATTATACATATTTTATGAAATGTGTAACGCGTAGCAGGAGATATCCCCGACACCATAAAGTGTATATATTTTAGGTCAGCATCGACAGCCGAGCATATGTTGCCATGTCCGTCCGTCTGTCCCTCTCCCCCATTTTCTATGTCTCTCAGTTATATGTTTTATGCTATAGGAAAGATTGGTGGAATAGTAGGATCTCAAATACAAACTATTCTGTTTTCAAAGATATTATTTTAACAAACTCAACAATTTTGAGCTGCTCACATATCCACAAAGGGAATATGTCATCAAGGGTATTAAATCATCGGATAGCCTTACTTTCGTGTTTTTAGTTATATTTGGACGAGTTAAATAAATATATTTTTATGTTTGCCATTTGATTCTGTTTGACTGTGAATTCTATAAGTTAATTTAATTTGAAGCCACTTGATGTTGGAATTTGCATTTCGCACAGGACAATGCGAATTGCTAACTCAATAAAAATTCTGTTGACACGCCACATAAATGGCGCATACATTTTAATCAATTGGCATAGAAAAAAATTCGGAGTTTTTGCTAAGTTTTATTTGTTAAACACAAACACAAATATAGCTCAATTATTGGCTATAAAGCTATCAAAATTGGTAATGTAATTAAAAATAGGTGGCTGAGGCTGTGGCTGCACGTCGTGATGCAAATTGAACTACAATTAAATTATAATTAAATTTAATCTAAGGCCACGTTATAATTTGCAATCAATATTGTTGCTGCAATGCAGGCAAATATAATAGCCATCATAATAATTATTATATTAAAATTAACGATATTAACAATAACAGTTTGTCCCATTCCAATCAACAAAAGTTAATGTTAGTCACATAACTATAGCTCACATAAGTATGCATATGTCTGCATATTGATTGCAACATAAAATAAGATTATAAAATGATATGTTGGCCACGATAAGGTGCACAACTTTCATGCAACCTTTGCCTTTGACATTCGGTTTTACGCAAAAATCAAAAAACTTCCTTTATTCTTCAGGTTTAAGGCGCATAATTACCCAGAAAACACAAACAACACACCTAATCAATCAAAATGTAAACTGTTTATAACCTATATATATATATGCTCTATATATATACATACGTATAGGGTATAAGTGTATCTAATAGCAAATGCCAGCCAATTGGTTATGTTGAAGCCTAAAAAGGTTTGATAGCAACTATTTAAACACAGCATATTAATTACACTTTTATTGTAGGTCATCAGACAAAATGAATTCCTGTACATTAAAGTTAATTAGTGCAACTTTTGGAACCTTGAATGTGCGAGTGTGTATGTGTGCGTGAGTGTGTGCGTATAATCCAAATTATCCACATAAGCTGCATATTTAAAATACCATATTATATTAAAACATCATCATGGCATAGTTGTTAGTTATGCGTTTGAATAAAGCAATTGAATTGTATGAAAGGAAGCTAGACAAAACTAACGAGTACTTTTAACTGTTGAATTCAAATACAAGTAAATTAAAAGAACAGTTAATTAAAAGCTAGTCCGAATTTGTATTATAATAATATATTGTAATACTATGTATAATTGGCCAAAACAAAAACAAATGAGCACACGCGTAAGCATGACATAATATAGAAGACTTAGCAAAGCATTACAACAATAACAAAACTCATAGAAACAACAACAAAAAAAGCCATTTGCAAATGTCGCCAGAATAAAATACAAAAAAAAAAAAAGAAAAACAAAGCATTTGTCAGTAAAAAACATAAATTGTGAACTGTTGAGCGTGTGCACGTCGTGCTACTGCAACAACAGCAAAAAACATCAACAACAAATGCAACTATGTACATTAAATAGTGCAAAATGAAACACAGTTAAAAATTTTTTTATTTAAAAGAAAATGCAGGCAGTTACGTGTTTTGATAACTTTACGATTTGATGCAACTCGTGCGACTTGCGGCTTTCATTCCTTTTGATATAAGCTGTTCAATTATTTATGCAAACTACAATACAGTGCAGCAGCAGCTGGCATAATACCCTGCCCGCCCGCGCCCGCCTGCCTGCCCACCTAGAAAATAGGCAACGACAGCCGAAGAAATGAAAAATAAGCTGCAACGTATGCGTGTGTCACATGTAATCTCGGGATTATAGACAGCAACAACCAGGCAGTCCGGAGCAGGGTCCTCTTGCCCAGGCAGCCGGCAACATGGCAGTTGGGCACTGAAAAACTGGGTCAGCAGATAAATCGAAAGGGCTTAAACATGAAACTAAGGTATCAATTTCATGGTCGAGCCCAAATATTACATGCTCTTTTAGCTATTAATTTTGAGAAGAAAATGGCCTTTTATTTACGTACTCAAATTATTTTTACAGATTTCGAGCAACATATTTTAAAACGAATTTTCGTAAGAATGGCTTTTGGGCTTTTTCATAAATTTATTTTTAGAGTGCACTTCGGCTTTAAAAGTAAGTAAAAATAAACCTAAATTGATAATTAATTAATAAGTGCTGGAAAAGGGCGCAGAAAGTAAGCGTTATTATCAGAGGAAATGCTGCATGAACTGCTTGCAGCCAGCACAATATCCGCCTGCACTGCTTGCCACTGCTTGACTACAATGCGACTGGTTTCTTCGCAGCAAAGCTTATCACACAGCTATTGTAGCCCATGGCAAAGAGTATTGCAATCAAAACAGTCACTCGCATAAGTCCATCCCCTGCGAACTTTGACAGAGCAACAACAAAACAAGAATACCAATTGAAATGCTTCATTAATTAAAACACACACAGACAGACAAAGCATAGGATGCGACAAACGGATATGAAAAATGTTTAATTAAATTGCAACAACAATTGACAACGCACAATTCTGCAATTGTGTAATTCTATTAAAATGCGCCACAAAGCGGCGCTAATCCTCATGCGTGTCCGCGTCCAAAATAATCGAGCTAGCCACAAAATGGCCGCATGCAAACCGCGCGCGCCAATGGGGCATATAAAACTTGCTCCAGTTTCAGGATCAGTTGGCGGTCGGACATTTTTGTGACTTGGCATAAAAATATTTATACGCTCGCTTGACTCCCAAATGCTGCGCGTTGCTTATGCAAATTTTTTGGTCTCTTTTTTTTTTTTGTGTGATTGCTTAAGCAACCGTCGCAGCGCTGGGCGTGGCCTGTTGTTGTTGTCCTTGCGCTTCCTTATGGGCCTGGACAACAGCATGTAATTTGGGCCGATAGAATTTATTTAATGCCCCGGCATTAGACACATTTGTTGCCCAGCAGCAGTTGCAGCCGTCTCGATATTGATTTGAGAGCAGCCGTGACTAGCACGCACAAATGTTTTGACCTAGCTCTCAAAGCGCTCACACGTTACAACCTGAGCCCTAGATCTGGCATTTAGTTTGGCAACAGTATTGCAGCTTCGTTGCGCTAATTTTGCGGCATATTTTGGGCGTCGAAAGCCCTTTATGGCCTGTAATATTAGCAGCAAAGGCGAGCTAAATGCGCCAGTTAAACAAATGACAAGAGAGATAAGCCAAACGGGTTGAAATTGCATGAAGCTTGTGTGACCTCTCAGGTGTTGAGAGATTCGAGAGCTGTTGCCAAAACTTGTCGTAAGTAATGTCAAGCATTTCAATTGAGTTTTTGTGTATATCTCGAGTATTTTAAGTCCGATTTTTACACTCGTACGAATCACAGCTGTCGATTGCCATTACAGCGTTTGCCTTATACGTTTTGACTCAATTTAGTAAAATTGGCTTAAAACCAAAAATGTTAATTCCAAAACGAATTAATTGCGCAATCCTTCGGACTACATTAACCTGAACTCTAGAAATCCCATTTTGTTCAATCCAGATACAGAACTTCACCATGTTCTTAAAAAATAGAATGTCCTGAGCATCCAACTCGTAAAATTGCAGTCGCGAGCCGTAAAAGCAAAAATTCGAATGTTTCAGCAACAGCCAGGACGACGATAACCCAGGTCCACGCAGCTTGTTTGACAAAGGACTCGCCAGGAACCGCAAGTATTTAAGCGAACATAGTTGCTTTTTATGATGTACAGTTCCTATTCTAAGGGAACTCCCTTTTCACCTATTTAAGAGGCCATCGAAAGGCCCTCATTCAAACAGAAACTAATAAGCTTTCGCGTAGCGCATCAAATGAATCAAAAGGCCTGATGCGTTAATCTACGAATTTCTAATAGTTTTGTATGCATTTTTACAACGGATTTATGGTCCGTGTCTGTGTGTGTGTGTGTGTGTGTGTGCCAAGGACTGTTCGTGTTTTCGGAGGCGTGTTCGGTCGCATGGCGGCTGAACAAACTCTAGAGTGGCCGCTGCAGAGCCGCATGAAATGCCAGTTAAATTATGGACCATTTGAATGAAATTATTTTAATTGCGTAAATCACTTTGCAACCAACCAAAATTCAACAATGCTGCGGCATTCTAGGCGTTCTCTCTCTGTGTGTGCGTGTGTGCGTGTGTGTGGGTCACTTATTGGCCCAATCCTATTGTATGAGCGCAACTTTTGGGTGCTGCGCTGCGGCATTTGCACACAGCAAAGGGGCGAGTTGGGGGAAGAGAATGAGTGGGAGGGTGGGGGTGGGGCAGTGGAGCTGCAGTTTGAATCGGAAACTAACGAACAACAGCACTCGAAAATTTAAACAAATATTTCAGCTGGCATATTTGCACTCCATTCCAAAATAATTGTTTTCCCTAGGTCGACAATACAAATAAATTCTGGCAACAATTGCCATGGCAAACACCGTAAAAGCACGCCAAAGCTGCCAGACTACGAGACACCCTGTAAGTTTAGGTTGATGAAAATATATAGTCATACAAAGCTGTCAGAGAAAAGCTGAACAATTTGTTAGACATTTGTTAATTGGCTAGTTAAAAGAGGTCGCAATATATATGCATAGCTAGATATACCCTTTGTAGAGTATCTCGAGAGCAGGCAATGCAGCAACTCCATGGGGACGCTGGCATGCTGCTGTTGTTGTATTATTGTAATTGCGACCGCAATTTGTCCAAATTATCGATAATATTATAAATAAATATCAGTTTGGTTTTCAACTAGAGATATGTTGGTGTCGCGCGGCCCACGTTGCGTATGCGTGATATCAAATAAATGCACATATTCGACAAAAGCGCGACACTTAAAAGGTTGATAATAATTTATGATATATTCAGTGGCATTTTTGGCAAATGCATTAATAAAACATGCAGCTAAACAAATAAGCCAAAAACATTTCGCACCAAAACATTTGCAAAGGCAACAACTCTTTATACCCATTTCCCTCCTCTCTCTCTCTCAATCTCTATCTGTGTTTCTAATCCAGCAGAACTAAAAGTTAACATTGAATATAAAATGGCAAAATATGCGTATAAAGCCAACACTTTGGCTAAAACAGCTCAAGCTAACCCTTGACATGTCCCTGCAGCCCACAGCTCAGCTCAGTTCAGTTCAGTTGAGTTCAGCTCAATCCCAGACCCAGCCCCGTCCCGTTCAGCTGTGCTCTGCTCCCACGCACTCGTGCTGTTCGATTGTTT